CATAACGGTGAAATTGTTTCTCTCCACAGAAGAGCTCCTGCAATTCACAGCAGCTGATTTTAGCTAGCACCTTTTTCATCACTGGCCACCGAGGCCACTCTGAATTTACCTCAATTTCTCAGCTCTCAGAGGGTGAACTATTATTCCTTTTGACTCATGCTCTTGTTAAAAATATAAATGTGTGCATATTTGTGAATATTCCAGTGCTGTAGCCTGAATTTTGCAGAAAAACACACAAGGAAATTTTTAATTCTGCTACTGCAGCAAAGTATGACTAATACAAATTAAAAGGTGCCAGGAGACTTGCCCAGTGACCAGGGAAAACATTTGGATGTTTGGATGTCCATTAATTATCTTTTTTCCTGTGACTAAACCAAGACAGGCATGCATCCTGTAGAGAAAATAGTATGTCATTAATTAAAATCATATCAGATTAATTCATGAAGGAGGTGTTAGATAAGCCTACACAGTCTTAATTGTACTGTACCCAAATTTTCATGTCTTTGACTTTACAACTTCTGTAATGTTTTAGCCTGGTATCTGTATGTGTGCCTGTGCATTAATTATTGTTTCAGAATAAGTTAATTAGGATATAAAAGATTTCCTCCAAAAGAAAAATCATCAAAACAAACTAGAGTTTAATACTTCAAACTACCTTGGAACAGAAAATGTTAGAGGAATTAAATATGTCCTCCAAATATGTAAATGCTGTCACTTCAAAGTTACTTCATCTTCTCCTTTCCCCTTCGAGCTCCAAGTAAATTCCACCTTGAGGAAAACCCTGTGGAAGCTGGGCCTCAGGACGAAGTTGAAAATTAGGCTATGAACTTAAAGGAAACCTCATGGCAACTTTGAACTGTGTAACTGTGACTCATTGGACTATGTACCTGTAATACTCCCTTTAGGAAGTGCATGGACTTCTACACGTTGCTTAAGAGTGCGTGATGAGGCCAGTCCTAAGGGGAAGCACAATATTCACAGGAAAATAATACTACAAATGGAGAGAGCCTCTAACAGCCTTCCATGGAGTAGTCAATTTTGAGTGAGGGGGCTATTTTTAGAATTATTTGCCATGCTTAGTGAGTACAAGAGGTGGTCCTTTATTTCCTGTAGTAGGCAACATTTCAATCCTATGCAGTAGCTACAGCTTTTCTTCAAATAAAAATTATAAATCAACTTGGTGTTTCTGTCAGCTTTCAGTTCCTTTATGGAAAATCCATTCTGTTTTGTGGCTGTTGCAATCAGTTGCTTGTAGTTTGTCCAGCAAGAAGCCATAAACCACATGACCATGTCATGGGGCACCTGTTCCACTGGATTTCTTGGCAGGAGTCTCCATGTCACGTTTTCTGTGGTAGGCATACTACTGATAATTTCAGTAAGAAGCATGAGCTTCGTAAGTATACATTTTTAATGATTTTACTTTTGTTTCTTTCCTCCTGGTAGTTGCTGTTTCTTAGTCTATCATTCTTTCCTGAAAATCATTAATACTTTGAGGTAGCTCAAGTGGTGAATCCACATTTTCATCGTCCCTCCAAGATCTGCAGCTCAGTGAATTCTTATCTATTTTGCAAAATGCAGCTGCATTAAAGTGGCTTTGTTGCTCAGATAAGGAAACATAAAATACAAGTCCAGCCAGATGTAAAAATGAACCATGGATCAAGGCCTGTGAAATAACGTGGCCCCCAAAATAGTCATCGGGGAAAAGAGTGACACAGGTGTGCTCAGACACAGGTGGCAAGCAATTCTGCTCTTGGGAAGCAGGGAAAAGATGGGATTCTGTGCCAGTTTGAACAGCAGTGAGGTAATTTTGTTCCCTTGCAAATAGATGTCTTGCAAAAAAGTAGAGGCTGTGTGCCAAGTGGCTATTGATCATGCTGGTAAATAAAGTAGTAGCCACACTTCACGGGAGGTTCTTCTAGAAGTGCCTGCTAAGCACTGATGAGGAAAGGACTGGAGCCATCCCAGCACGCCAGCCTGGCACGACACATGCACAGCAGCAAATGGAGGCCGTGTTCAATACCAGCCCCTGAGCCAGCACCTCCCAAATCACCACCCATCAGAAGGGATAGATGGAGCTGAAGGGCCATCACATAGCAGTCCAAAGACACGTGGGGAGAAGTGGCGTGGCAGGATGGACTTGCCTGCTATCTCCTTCCACAGGAAAGCAAGGAGGGCTGCTGGGGAGTTCCCAGCCAAAGAGCCTAATCACCAGGTGAGTGGGATGGGGGCAGTCAGCAAAAATGCTGCTGCTCCTTATTGCAGTCATAGGTATGAGAGAATAATGCTGTGGGCCGGCTCAAGCAGTGAGTCCACATTTTCATCATCTATCCAAGATTCCGTGGCTTGTCCTTGATACCACAGAATAGAATGAGCCACGGTATTTCTGTCCTCTGTGCTATGAATAACATCCCTAAGTGACTTAGATAAAATGGGAATGGGATTCCATCCCAATTCCAAGTGAACATGTCAAGAAAGGGAATGATGAAATATTAACAGGATGGCAAGGTCACCTTCTGGGTAGAAAACTTGAGCCAAGGAGGATGGTAGGATTGTTGGAGCTGTGAGTATTGCTCAAAGAATCAACCATTAGAAACGCTAACAGTGCAAAATGGGTAAGTCTTGGAGCAACTTCGTGCTAAGGTTACTGTTCTGAAAACCAACAATACTTCTGTAGTGTGATAAATGTGATTCGTGCTAACTAAATTGTAACTATATTAGCAAAGTTGTACTCATATCAATAGAAAATAATTGTTACAAAGCAAAAAAGGAAATGGTGAGACAAAGCAGATGAAATCCTCCAGATGTTAAGTGGCAGTAGTAGAAGGATGTAGGTTTGATAAGCAGCAGCTAGAAATAAAAAGTTTCGACCTTGGAATGGGCCAAATTGGGATGATTCCAGGCATGGAACTTGAATAAGGTTTTATTGTGGGAACATATGCTGAGCTACATAACCCCAAGCTTAGCGTGCTTGCACTACCTGCAAGGTTACACAGAGGACACTGATGAAGATAAAGAGCCTTCATCGGAAATAAGACCCTCAAAAGGATGAGAGACCCCTAACTACTAACTACTAGCATGCACAACACAACATAATGATGTAGATTTTAGGAATAGAAACTAGGAGGAGCTTTCAAAAAAATTCTGTATATATTATTATATATTGTAATATATAATATATATATTAGCATATAGCATATAAGTGAGATTTTTGGCTTGATTGTTTGGTACGTGAGGAAGGGTGAGCCCCTCCCCGTACCCCCAGTCGGTTTTGCTTATGCTTTATACGAACCTTAATTATACTAAATTACTCACTTCCAAATTTTGTATATACTCAAATATATGTATCTAATATACTTTGATTGTATTCATTTATATACAACTGTTGCTATTAAAAAAAATTGCTGCTAAATTTCTTCTCGTTGTCTGATAAATTGGACAAATAGAACATCATTCATAACATGTAGCCATCATCCACCTGCTTCTTTATTGCTCTTGACATCCTGGAGTCAGTCTTGCTACAGTTTCTAATCTATGATAAAAGGTAAGAGGAGGGTTTCAGAGGTGCTGGAGGGGCTAGGATGGCTGGGCTATCTTGGTAGCTGAGGGGTATCCTTTATCTGTCATGAATGGCTTGAGGATCTGAGAAACAAAGGTCCAGTTCCTTGCTTTTAGCTGGGGTCCTTTGGTCATGTTACTCCACCACGAATACTGATGATAACTTAAGCCTAACTGTGCAGTGTATGACATCAACCATATACATCTAAAGAAAGTTAATACCACACTACTTAGAAAACCAATAGACTTTCATAGTATGAAGACTACGTGGTACAATATTTAATGAATGAGATATTCCTGATGTGGCCTGAGACCATTAGTTGAGGGCCAGAGGCCTAGAAGGAAAGAGGCAAAGCCAAAAATACCCTCTGCTGTCCAGCTGCAGCCCAAAAAGCAGCTGGATGTGGGTATCTCCCCATTGGATTGACAGGCTTTCCGCTTCTCAGAGCGGTTTGTTTACAGCTGTGTCTAAAATAAACGTTGCCTAATTTTTTTTTTACCGCTCCTGTTATTCCTGCGGAGCAAGTTGGATTCCTCTCTGACTCACGCATGATTAACTAACTTCCAGCTGCATTATCTTTATTGTTGCTGCCGATGCACAAGCCAGCGCTCAGCACGACTCGTGGATCCCAAGCTGTGCTGGCGAGGCTGCCACTTACAGAAAAGGATTTTTTCCCTAACAGTTGTGGGGTTTGAGAAATGTTATTATTTTTTATTTGTGTATTTATTTATTTAAGAGACAGCAAGTACCTGCTTTCTCTGAGACCAGAGAAATAAAAACAAACAACCGATATCGCTCCCCGACCCACCCGGTGCGGTGCTGCTGGCGGAGAGGCGCGCCCGGCGGCAGGGAGGCACCGAGGGGTCCCGGTGCACGGCGGACAGGACGGGACGGGACAGGAGGGTCCGGCAGCCGCGGCTAGGAAGCGGTTAACTCCGAGCACCAGGAAACGGGAAGGAAGAGGCTGAGCTCGGCAGGAGCCGCACGGCGGAAGCCCCCCCGGCCCCGCTCCCGCCGGGAGCCGCCGCCGGACCGGGCGCACGTGCGGGCGCGGCGGCGCGGGGGCACGTGCCGGGCGGGCACGTGCGGCACCGGCACCTGGCAGCGGCGGCGGCCGGGCGGGCACGGAGGGAGGGGCGAAGGGACGGAAGAGGCGCTCCCGCCGCGCCACCGCTGCCCCCGGGGAGGGCGGGAGGTCTGCCGGCCTCGGGCGGTTTTATCCAACCGCTTGCCCCTTACATAAGCTGGGAGCCGGTCCGCCCCCCATCCCCGCCGCCGTTCCCCCTTCCCGGGAGCCGCCCCCCTGCTGCAGCGATGTGACACGCCCCCTCCCCATCCCTCCCTCCCTTCCGTCGCCGTCCCCTCCCAGGAAGAAGCCGGAGTCGGGAGCGCCGCGGGCCCAGCATGGAGTAGGGCGGCCCGGGGCCGGCGGCGCCGCGCGGGCATGGAGCTGGGCCCGGGGCCCTGCGCGCTGCCGGCCGCCGCTGGGGCCGGGGCCAGGGCGACGGCGGCGGCACCCTGCGCCGAGATGCTGCAGGTGGCGGAGGAGGCCTTCCGCGGCGGCAACTTCGAGCTGGCGGCTGAGATCTACGGCTCGGAGCTGGCGGGGCTGCCGCAGCCCGAGCGGGGCCTGTGCCTCCGCCGCGCTGATGCGCTGGCCAGGGCCGGCCGCATGGCCGAGGCGCTGGACGCCTACGGCGCGGCGGCGCGGCTGGCGCGGCTGCGGCCCGAAGAGCTGCGGGAGCTGGCGGAGAGCGTCGCCCTCAGCATCCGCGACAAGGAGCTGCGCCTCCCGCCCTGGGGGAGCGGCGCGGCCGGCGGCGGCGGGGCAGAGGGCGAGGGTCTGGGCGACCCGGCGTGCTGCCGTCCGCCCGAGCTCTTCGCCTGCCCGCTGTGCCGGCGGCTGCTGTGCGAGCCGGTGACCCTGCACTGCGGGCACACCCACTGCCGCCGCTGCGCCGAGCCCGGCGACTGCGGCCGCTGCCACCGCCCGCGCCGCCCCGCCGAGCCGACACCTGCCGCCGCCGCACCGCCGCCGGCCGCTGGCCGCCCGCGGGTCAACGTGGTGCTGGGCAACCTGCTGCACAAGTGGTTCGGCGCCGAGAGCCGGGCGCGGCGGCTCCGCGCCGAGGGCGACGCGCTGCGGGAGCGCCAGGAGCTGCCGGCCGCCCTGGAGAAGTACAACCAGGCCCTAGAGATGGGTGAGTGGCGCCTGCGGGGAGGAGGAGAAGGAGGAGGAGGAGGGGGCGCGGCGGGGGCAGCGCTGCCCGCCGGCACCGAGCTGGCCCCGCAGCCTGGCGGGGAGGGGGCTTGCGGTGAATGGTGGGAGAGGGCACCTGGGGGAGGTTACGAGCGGGAATCCTGCCAGCGGGTCTCCTCACGCCCGCCCCACGCTCCAGTGAATGGCTATTTTTGTTCCACTGGTATTTCTGTCCTTGCTCTGAAGGTGCCTGGCGTTTAGCTGTTCACTGCCGATGACTCATTATGCAGTATTTCTAGAAAACCCGCTTTCCTATTTATGGGGAAGCCATCATTCAGTGTAGGATACGCAGTAGTGGTCGTGTCGAGCCCCGCCGCGGCTTCGTGGAAGAAATGAATATGTGGGTCGGATTCATTCAGCTACATGCAGCTGCACCTTCAGCAAGATAAAAGCTTTGAAAAGACCTAATGAGATATCAGTAGGTGTAAAGGCTCAGAAAATTTCCTTTATCTTGCACTGTGCAAAATACTTAATATTAATCTATGTTTAGCCTTGGAGAGATGGTGCGCCCGTGTTGTGAGCGTAGCCTCTTTGTTGACACGCAGGATTTCTATGTGCAGGGTGTTCTCTGAAGAGCTTGGCTTTAAATAAAAATGCCTGCCATCCTCCTCTGCCAAACCGATGGCAGCCTTAGTTTATCAAAACTAGCTTGTTTTCAGGCTCTGTGCCTAGTAGTAGGTGGATCCTGCTCTCTCGGTTGTAGCCTTGTAGTAGTGGATGTGTGCGTGCGTGCGCCCGGCTTGTTTGCCCTGCGAGCGGTGGGGGTGGTACAACACTGTGAATGTCTGAGAGGCGTGGAGCCGGGGAGAGCCGTGATCTAGGCAAATCCCCCGGGATCTGCCGCTCCTCCGGTCTCAGCGTGATGGATGTCCGGTTTAATCGAGGAGGAAGGGGGGAGAAAGCTTCTGTCGTTTTAACACTGACGAAATCCTGCGGGTAAATGTCTTTGAAAGACAAGTGTGGGGAAAACTGCCGCTCCTCTGTCGATGAGCTCCTTCCCTGCATTGATTAAAAATCGTGTTCCTTGATCTTAGTTCTTACATGCAGGGATAAATAGCTCTGTTTCTTTTTTTTGTTGTTTTGTTTCTTTGTTTTTTTGTTGCTTTGTTTGCTGTGGAGAGAAACAATTTCATCGTTATGTCAGTCCTTGTCTCACTTCGTTTTTTTTCCACGGTTTCATAGTAGGCATAGGAGATAGTATACTAACCCATCTCAAACTCTTCTATGCTATCCCATCTCAAACTCTTCTATCTCCTCACAGCTGATGCTGGCTGTGGAAACCATTACTTCTGCTATTTCTTCCACTTTTCCAGCTAGATGTGACAAGTTTTCAGTCCTAGTGAGTGTCCCTGTAAAACTATTATGTGGTTTAGCTGTAGTAATCCCTATTAAAATAGGCAGGATGGAGCCCAAGAAGGAAGGTGAAGCAGAGGTGGAGAGGAGAGTAGCATAATGTAGGTCACTGGTGGATACGGTGAGTTTTCCTTAGGGAAGCCTCCTAATATTTTGGGTTCAGAGCCCTACTGCTGGGCAAAATAACATCTCATCAATGAAATTAAGTTTGAAGAGGTTTTTAGAGAACTATTTCTCACTGTTGTCTCTGCTTTTTGCTGTGTCTGCATGAGAGTGAAAGGACAGGGAGGCCTGTGGTGTGCTGCTGGTGTTCTCACACAGCAGGTATCTTTCTCCTTCCTGTCCCGGGAGTATAATCTCCAGCCGATCTCAACTCCTTTCCAGTGATTTCCCAAGCAGCCTGGGAATCCGTTCAGAAAGTCCTCACTCTGTCAGTGAAGTTGAATTTTTTCTTTGTAATAAAATTGGAATTGGAAATAATAACAGGTATCTTGCTAGCTTTTGAAATCCAAAAGCCATAGGCTTATATGTCGTAACTTCCCTGTAGTGGATCCAAATCCTTGCTGACGAAGGGCAGCCCATGCCCCCAGCTCATCATCTTTTTTTGATGTTTTGTGAGTGACAGTGCTGTTTCTCACAAATTGAACTGCTGTGTATGAGCCTCATGTAAATTCTTAAATTCTTGCCACATGTTCATCAGGTAGGGCTTTTTGGCATGCAGGAGTTGCCTTCTTGTTTTCCAGCCAAGTATCATGGTAAATAAGGAGAAAGAAACCCACAAGTTCTTTTCTAACTGTTCAGTATATAAATGTTAGCATATGGGTGACTTAAATGCACAGGACAGCCCTAAGAGTCACACCATGTGCCTGAGAGTGTTGTCCAAAAGCTTCCTGGACTCTGTCAAGCTTGTGGCTATGACCATTTCCCTGGGGAGCCTGTTCCAGTGCCCAGCCACCCACTGGGTGAAAAATCTTTGCCTAAAATCCAACCTAAACCTCCCCAGACTCAGCTTCATGCAGTTTCCTCAGGTCCTATTCCTGGTCACCAGAGGAAAGAGATCAGTGTCTGGCCCTCCGCTTCCCCTTGTCAGGAAGCTGTGAATTGTGATGAGGTGTCCCCTCAGTTTCCTCTACTCCTGACTGAACACACTTCTAATGTGTGAGAAGATAAGTGCTTTTTACAACCTCAAAATGCTTGTGTATTGCTATTGAGTGTCAAGGGCCTGGGTATCGCTAAAATTTCTTTGTGGCATCTGAAGGCACAGATTGATTATACAATTGTGGTATAAAGTTAGGTAAAATTCCAGGTTTCTTGGCAGTATGCACGCTTCAGTGGGATTTTTTTACTGGTGCTTTTTATGGAACACTTTCCTACTCCATTTGTTACAACTAGCTTTGTGTGATGCAATATTAAAGCAGCAAGTTCTCCTATCACTTTGCTCGTTCTGATTGTGACCTTCTCCTTATTCACACTTCAGTTCTCAAGGTGCTTCAATTCTTGAATTACATTTTTGGTGCAATCTGGAATGTCTAGTACGTATTTCAGGCCTGGGAAGAGGTCTACATGCCTTCAAGTTGTCAACTTTTTCCAATTGAAGTCTTACAAACTCATATTCTTAGTGAGTATGTTCCTCTTTTGTCCTTAACTATCACATCTACAACAGCACTGCTGCTCTCATGCTCACTCCTGTAGTCTGCTATGGATTCAGGTGTGGTTGAGTGAGGTTTTTTGTTCTTAAGAAAATCAGCTTTGCTATTTGATCCTTCCAGTCCTCTTGAGCTGCGATCTCTGCTGTTTTATACAAAGTCACTGCCTTTTTTTTTTTTTTGCTGCTATAGACATTGTAATAGATCCTCCATTATTGTACGGTATCTAATTACCACAGCTTCAAAGCAAGCACATGTCAAGCTGCTTGAAAGAAAGCATTTGTTTCCAGATGGATTGTTTTTTGTGCCAAGCTTTATGCTGTTCAGCCATCATAATATCAAGTATTATGTTGGTCTCATGGCCATTACCCCAGATTTCTGAATTTCATTTGTGTGAGGATCAGAGGTGGACTTCCTCTGACATCCTTTCTCTTCTAACTAGTCTTTTGATTGTTTGGACTCCTAGGTTAATTAAACTGAAATATACGATATATGTGTGCAGGATTGCTTTGTTTGTGGGGTTGTTTTCTTTTGTTTATTTGGATTTGGGGCCTTTTTGTGCAGTATGTGCTTTCTGCACCCTTTTTTCTTTCACCTGGTGCTCTCTCTCTGATGGAGATACTCCTCCCAAGCATGGCCTCTCCAGAGAATACAGTCATTTCCTTATATCCAGGCATACAGACTCCTTAGGCTGTGTGCCTGAAATTAAAGTAAGCTAGATTTCAGTGACAAATTAATGTATTTTGAGGATGTGCTTTTGGGAGTGTGTTCTAGCTTCTAGCTTTGATTTTTTTTTTCTTTTCTTTTCTTTTTTTTTTTTTTTTTAATTTCTCCAAAGCAGTTCTCAGTTACAGAGGCAGACATGCATGCAGAGTGTGAGAAGTTTTGGGTGGTCTTGGGTCATGCCTTAAGCCAGAATTTCTCTGTGCCCTTCTTTGTACTGAAACAGCCTGTTAACATCCTGTGCCTTTCCTGTAAATAAACCTGAAGATGTCTGTTCAGGGATACAAAGCCCAGGGGTGTAGTTCTGTGGCTCCTGTTGCTGCTGTTTTTAGAGGTTTTGTTTCCTGGGCTGTGTCAGCAGTTGTAGCTCTTGGGTGGTCTCTCAACCTGCCCACAGGGCTGTGACCCTCTTGTGCCCACCTGACCCTAATCTCGAGTGAGTTTCTTCGGGTGTGGAGGTGTGAGCCAGCCCTGAGGGTGGCACGCATCTGTTATGAATGACGTTCTATTTCTCCAGTTTATCAGACAACGAGATGAAATTTAGCAGCAATTTTTTTTTAATAGCAACAGTTGTATATAAATGAATACAATCAAAGTATATTAGATACATATATTTGAGTATATACAAAATTTGGAAGTGAGTAATTTAGTATAATTGAGGTTCGTATAAAGCATAAGCAAAACCGACTGGGGGTACGGGGAGGGGCTCGCCCTTCCTCACATACCAAGCAATCACGCCAAAAATCTCACTTACCTGCTATATGCTAATACATATTAATACAGAATTTTCTGGAAAGCTCCTCCTAGTTTCTATTCCTAAAATCTACATCATTATGTTGTGTTGTGCATGCTAGTAGTTAGTAGTTAGGGGTCTCTCATCCTTTTGAGGGTCTTATTTCCGATGAAGGCTCTTTGTCTTCATCAGTGTCCTCTGTGTAACCTTGCAGGTAGTGCAAGCACGCTAAGCTTGGGGTTATGTAGCTCAGCATATGTTCCCACAATAAAACCTTATTCAAGTTCCATGCCTGGAATCATCCCAATTTGGCCCATTCCAAGGTCGAAACTTTTTATTTCTAGCTGCTGCTTATCAAACCTACATCCTTCTACTAGTGCCACTTAACATCTGGAGGATTTCATCTGCTTTGTCTCACCATTTCCTTTTTTGCTTTGTAACAATTATTTTCTATTGATATGAGTACAACTTTGCTAATAT